TAACCACGGTGGTGCGGTTAACACACTTTACCAGAGATGCGCATCTCAACACTTTAACTTCAAAGTACGTACTTTTACACATAACCACCAGAGACCACACACTTTATCTCTGTGGTGGGAAACACTGTCAAAAAATAACTAATAAAATAGCTTAGCTTAGCAAGGTCGGACACACAAAGAACAAAACAAAGCCAGACTCCAGTGGTACTCGCAGGAAGTGAGAGGTAGAGAAAAAAAGATGTAAACCAGATGTCTGTACACAGCTACCCCCCACTGCTCCATAACTCAGTTTGGACAAGACAAAGAACTGCCTTGAACCACACCCCTCTTTCAAATCTTTGAACGGCCAGCGTTCAAATTTCCACTAAATCAAGCTTTTAAACACAGACAAACAACTAACAACAATAAACAGACAACAAACATAAAAATTTAAGAAAAATAAACTAGATTCCTTTTCTCTATTTTTTTCCTTTCTCTATGTTTTTTCTCCTTCAAAAACTAGCCAGCCACCTCTAAACTTCTATTTCAATACTGAGAGATGTATGTAATCTCACTCTACACTGCATTTTACTCTGTTGCTGCACTTCTAATCCTTAAATTTAATATTCTCTACACAAATTTCGACATCGTTTGCCTTCCATATGAACTCTACAGCACCTCGGCATAAAAACTCTGTTTATCTCTCGTAAAAATTGAATCTGCCGGAATTACATGCTTTTTCCGATCCCGGAGCAGAAAACACCACAGCTTGACTATTTAAAACATAAAAGGAACASTTTTATCRTGCTTTAAGCTGGTTTACAACACCTCGTGTCATGACAAAGCACATTTTCGCGCTAACAACATGTGCAGCGCCCTGCCCCCCTTTCTCTACAGCTCAAGGCTTTGTTCTCCTCGGAGCTCTGAACTCGACACTAAACGCTATTTATAACCCCAATAAAAACACAGATACACAAAAACAGAAACAGAAACGCTAGCATGACAAAGAAATTTGAGTCTAGACACGAAAAAGACACAGAAACTATCTGAAACTCTTCACGTATATTTACGCTCCCCCGTTCAGTTTCACAGCTGCATTTTACAGAAAGTAAATGCAAAAACAGACCTAAATTCGTGGCGCCATTCTGTGGTGTCTCTTTCTGGTTCGTTTCTGCTCGGTTCGGCGGGGCTTCGTCAGCTGCTGGACTCTCTTTGTCTCCCTTGTGTGCTCACTTCGGCTCCTGGTCGGTGGCTGCTCACTCTGGCTGCTGCTTCGGTGCTGGGTGCTGCTCCGGCTGGCTGTGGCTGGCTCCTYTGAAGACTTGTTGACGGTTAAAAAACTCTAGGCTAACATTTTAATAAAGAAAAGAGACGCTAATCTTCAGTTCTGGACATGTTTATTCACGAGAGACACCCAAGCRCGTCCACACAGCTAAAAATGTTACTCTGACTCCTTGCTCCACGAGCCCGTGCCCCCCTTCATGCGCGCTCCGGTCCGACACGCTCGTTCACGCCTTAAAGGGCCATACACCTGAAAATATACGACAACACCTCCTCTTTTCCCCTGTTTTGAGTCAGAAGTCTCTGTCCCATCTGTACAGGATCATCTATGCAGGTGTCGAAAGATATGGAGGCAGACAAAGGAGGCACTTTTGAGGACGGCTGAACAAAATAAAAGATTTGCAAACCGTCATCGCTCATCGGCACCCAAATATCAGGTGGGTCAGAAAGTTTGGCTTTCCACTAAAGATGTCAATCTGAAACATACCCCTAGAAAACTTGCTCCCTGCTACATTGGCCCCTTTCCGATGGAGAAGATCATTAACCCATCTGCAATCAGACTTCAGCTGCCTACCTCCTTAAAGATACATCCTACCTTCCATGTTTCTCAACTCAAACCAGTCAATGAGAGTCCTCTATGCCCACCAACCAACCTCCCCCGCCCGCCCGGCAGATCGATGACCACCCTGCCTACACGGTTCATCGCATCCTCGATGTGAGACGCCGAGGGAGAGGTTTTCAATACCTCGTTGACTGGGAGGGATATGGACCTGAGGAGAAGACTTGGATCCCGAGGTCATTCATCCTGGACACTTCTCTCATCGCTACATTTTACAGAGACCACCCGGGGAAACATCCTCGGTCGCCTGGAGGCGACGCTTGAGGGGAGGGTACTGTGACAATCAGTGACAATCAGTGCTTTCCCCTGCCTCCTCCTGATWGGCCAGTTTCCTGATAGAGCTCATCTGCAGACAGGCCTTCATTGTGAGCAGCTTGGTTATACGTATAAGGTGGCACTGAAGATCTGGTCCTCGCCAGAGCAACTCTTACCATATGGCAGTAGTCCTGGCCTTTTGTTGTTTRAACATTGATCTTAAGTATCTTACCTGTGCTCTTTCTGTGTTCAGTAATCCAGACCATTGAAACCTGTGTTGCCTTGGACCACTCTTCCTGCAAAACCTGTGTGCCTCACAGCTGCAAGGAAAACAAGCCTGCTTAATCACCTGCCTGTCTGCCTCCAATCTCTGGTAACTAAACTGTTCAATCATTGCCTCCCAGCCTCAAACCTGTTGGAACCCTGTTCAAACTCACCTCTCTGGATCCAAGCCTTCTCTTCTGAGCCACACCCATCCTGGAACTCTGTAAGAAACCACTCACCTGAAATATTTACCAACTCAATACTTACTGTACCTGCAATATACTTACCCATCTCCTTCCTTTTCAGCCCTGGAACCCAGATCCTTCCCCACTGTAAATAAAGATCACTTACCTTTTGTATTCTGGCTCCAAAGTCTATTCATATCAATTTCACTCACCTTTGACAAAACCTGAAAGCCTGCCATACTTAGTTTTTAACACTCAACGTACCTGTACAAGATGGATATCAAAAATTTTGTTAGTGTTGAGATCCATCATGGAATATGAGCCATAATTTGCACAATGGCTGGGACTGTCAGTGCACATATCACCACCAAGAGATACACTTTCCCTCTGTTTCATTCTCTCAATCAGGTCAGTCTGGCACAATTGCCATTTATGCATCACAGAAGGCAGAATGTACAGTGGTTTGCAAAAGTATTCATACCCCTTGAACTTTTCCATATTTTGTCACATTACAACCACAAACATAAATATATTTCA